ATATATATATAGCAAACAACATACTGCTCAAGGTTCATAGTTCTATAGTAACATATTCTTTTTAATTTAATTAAAGCTTCCAATCTCAAAATGAAAATTTGGCTCATATGATTTTATTTGTTCTCCAGATTCCTGAAAATGTCCCAGTTGGTAGCACCAATGAGTACAAACGAGTGGTGGCACTGCGAGAGTCAGATAAGGCGCTGTTTGATCTTAGCGTGACTATCCCGAACGCAGACTCAACTGCAAGTACGTTTTCTCGGTGTAATATATATGTTGGCTCAACCACTAGTACATTTTCTCAATGTCATGTATACATAACCTCAACTACAAGTACGTTTTCTCGATGTATTGTATATGTTGACCCAACCACTAGAACATTTTCTGAATGTCATGTATACATATCCTCAACTACATATATGTTTCCTCTATGTAGCGTTGATGTAGACCTAAACTACAGGTATGGTTTCTCGGTATATTGTGTATATGAACTCAACCATAACTCAACTTCAAGTACAATTAATCACTGCCATGTGTATGCAGACTCGCCTGTTAGTACATTTCCTCGATGTCATGCAGAAACAGACTTGACCACAAGTACGTTTTCGCATCGGCCTGTACGTGTTGACTCAGCTACATGCATGTGGATAAATGCAAGGATAGGGATTACTTCCACACACACTGATATCACGAATCCATCACTACTGCGTCATCCGTTACACTCACTCATGTCATATCTCTCCCAACTTCAGTCTTACATACATGCTTGCACTAGGTTTCAGGGTTTTGGGGTTTCAGGGTTCCTAGCATACACGCATAAACATCCCAATTCGTCCTCACTTCAACTGTCACTGTGTATCGTTTGACGCGCAGGTAGTGACACCGACGCAGACAAGCTGCGTGCTGACATCAGTGTCAAGTTGAGGATGACAGGTGTCAATGTCATCTTCATGAACAGATTCGTTACCGACATCTCTGGTAAGTGGTTAATTATATACATAGATATATAAATATATATATATATATATGTAGGTACAGTTCTAATTATAGTTATAATGGCAGTTCTAGATATAAATATATTTGTAGTTCTAATTGCAGTTGTAGGTATAGTTCTAATTATAGTTCTAGCTATAATTGATGCTACAACCCTCGCACGGAACTCTGCTAGCGTCTCTGTTTAATTCCATCAAGTGTGTGTTTTGTCACGTGTTTGGCTTATTCCGTCATGTGCGTATTTTTTCACGTGTTTAGTAGCTCACATGCATTTTTTTCACGTGTTTAATAGCACACGCGCGTGTTTTGTCACGTGTTTCGCTTATTCCGTCATGTGCGTATTTTGTCACGTGTTTAGCAGCTCACATGCGTGTTTTGTCACGTGTTTAATAGCACACGCGCGTGCTTTGTCATGTATTTGGCTTATTCCGTCATGTGCGTGTCTTGTCACGTGTTTACTAGCACACACGCGTGTTTCGTCACGTTGTTGGCCTATTCCGTCATGTGCGTAATTTGTCACATGTTTTTTTTCTGGCAGCGTATGGCTTGGACTTTGCTGCGGCCATGGCCAAGTACACCGAAGAGTTGCAACAGGCCAAGACAAACCCACACGAACAAAGCGTTGAGCTTAAGCACAGCAGCTCAGGTGGTCCCAGGCCGTCTGTGAGTACGGTGCCAATGCGAGTACGTTTTCGTTTTCGTTTGCGTTTGGTTTGTATTTTGGGTGGGGGGGGTGGTTTGTTTGGACAGCAGGACGATGTAGTTTATATCTAGTATGGGTTTTATCTTGTTTATTTGTTTTTTTTTATCGGGATGGGAAGTAGTTTAATTTTTTGTCTAGATTTTTGTGAGTACGGTACCAATGCGGATACGGTTTCGGTTGTGTTTGGTTTGTATTTTTGGGAGAGGGGGAATTGGTATTTGGAAAGCAGGACGGTGTAGGACGTTGTAGGGCTTAGGTCGGTATTTTAGTTCTTTTTTTGTTTTGTTTTTTGGATTGGGATAGGATGACGTAGTTTGTTTTTGGTCTAGATTTGAGACCTTTTTTGCCGGGCGGGGATTAGGACGGGGCGTTGAATTGTATCTCTGATTTGGGTATTTTTGGTGTTGAGCTAGTCAATAGTGTGGTTTCAATTGATCTTCAGTTGAATTTTGGGTTGAAATTTGTGCACTTTCAATGTATGGGGCGAGAGCTTTCGACCACAGACTGGTACAGTATGTATTTTCGGAAACAGTATCTATTTATACAATATCTACTATTAGAATATCCTTTATTATAACACGAAATCTATTTTTAGAACGTCCAAATCTATTTTTAGAACATCCAAATCAGGACCAAAAACTCATTTTAAGTCCAACTATGTGTAAACCAGGACAAGGCACAAGCCTCGATGCAAACTCTGACCAAACGGAACACTGTCAGTGCTATCAAACTGCGACGACCATCTACATTGGTCGATGAGAACAGACTGGGCGTGCAACAACAGGTATGTATGTTTGTGAGGATATGTGTAAGTACGTTTGTATGTACTTTTATATATAAGTAGGTATGCATGTGCGTGAGGATATGTGTAAGTATGTTTGTATGTACTTTCTTAAATAAGTAGGTATGCATGTGTGTGAGGTTATGTACAAGTACGTTTGTATGTACTTCTTTAAATTAGTAGGTATGCATGTGTGTGAGGCTATGCATTAGTACGTTTGTATGTACTTTCTTAAATAAGTAGGTATGCATGTGTGTGTGGTTGTGTATAAGTACGTTTGTATGTACTTCCTTGAATAAGTAGGTATGCATGTGTGTGAGGTTATGTATAAGTACGTTTGTATGTACTTTCTTAAATAAACTTAAATAAGTAGGCATGCATGTGTGTGAGGTTATGTATAAGTACGATTGTATGTACTTTTATATATAAGTAGGTATGTATACATGTGTGGTTATGTGTAATTACGTCTTTATGTACTTTTATATATAAGTTGGTATGTATGTGTCTGAGGTTATGTATAAGTATGTACTTTTATATATATAAGTAGGTATGCATGTTTGTGTGGTTACATATATTTAAGTTTGTATTTAACACTATGTATAAAAGTTATGTTGGCGTGTGTGGTAATGTATAATTGCGATTGTATGTATTTCTGTGTACAATATGTATGTATGTGTGTGTGGGTAAGTATAATTACGCTTTGTACTTAAAATACAGGTATGCATGTGCGTGTGGTTTGGTAAATTCAAGTTTGTATGTATTTCTATGAATAAGTAGGTGTGTATGTATGTGTGGTAATGTATATTAATGTTTGTTTCTGTTTTTATGTACAAGTAGGTATGTATGTGTATGTTTATTTGTATATTTGAGTTTGTGTGTACATTTATATATCAGTAGGTATGTATGTGTGTGTGGTTTTATATAATTACATTTGTTTGTGTTTCTATGTATATTCTGGTTGTGTTGGTGTATGTGTTGTTGTATATGTGAGTTTGTGTCTATTCCATTTTGCAAAGTTGTTCGTAGTATTTTCGTTAGTCTTAATCTCATGTATGTATGTATAAAAGTTAATGCCTGATTCAGTGTGCATGTGTGTTTATGTACATTTCACTTTGTAGGGTTTTATGTAAGTTGATACATAATCCATTGTACATGTATGTTTACGTATACTTAAACTTTGTCTGTATGTCTGAGTGTATATGAGAGAGTGTGTTTGACTACCCACCACAATAAGGTATTCATCTGAATGTTCTATTCATATCTCTAGGGCCGGAGTAAGAGTATTAATAATCATAATGCCGCGCCAGGGGACAGGCGCCGAAGTTCGGCGAAGCTCAAACGGAGAAATTCGTCTGCGAATAGTGACAAGGCACTGCGTAATAGTCTGACGACTACCATTTCTAAGGTAGGTGCTTAATACATTCCTGACCGATTATTAAAAAGATCTTCTTCAGATGTAAGTATTTCTACA